AAAAAAAATATAGGCGTATGATTAGTTGTTTGAAATTGATGCTTAGTTCTATTTTTAAGCAGATTTTTTTTTAATAAGGGTTATTAGTGGATAAACTCTAAATGTGTAAGACAACATGTGTGAAAACACTAGGTAGTGTGTTGTGTTGTGTTGGTGCGGTACTCTCTATTCATAGTGTTTGCTGTTCCATTTACTGCACCAAGGGATAAAAATTCTTAGGCTAAACTTTATCTACTACATCAAAGAGATAAAAACTCTATAGGCTAGACAAAGCAGTTTGGAAAATAGGTAGTTACGCAAATCTTTAGCCAAACACCTGAAATATAGTTGATATTCTTACAAGTATTTTAGGTAATTTAGTATTGAGTAATTGTAACCTTATGAATTACTTATTTTGTGCATGACATCAAACTACTTATAGGTTCGTTAAGTAGACTGCTGTCAATGTAATAAAAATGACATTAAATTGTTTGCTTCTTGTCACTATATTGTCACTAAGTGATTTATTTGTTACACTAAGTAGGTTCATTAAGTATGTTTGAATTTTTGTGTAGTTTTTTCTAAGATCTAATGCAATGAATGCCAGTTTGTGTAATAAAGTTGGGTTGTTCAGGTGGTGGTAGGTAGTTGTCATTAGGATTGGTGGGTGCAAGTACTGCTAATGTCATAAGCAAGATCAGTACTGTGTTTTAGATTTGTGTGACTTAGCCGTCTATTGAGATTGAAGCTAATGTCTTTTTTCTTTCTATTAAGGTAATTTAAATGAGTTGTTATCTTTAAATTCTCTCAGTTTTGACTGTATCAAACTTTGTGAAGCAGTCATATGGCTACATTATGCTATAACATAAGTGTACTTTAAAATCTAAATTGAGAGAGAAGATTTCAAAACATTTTAAGTTGCTTTAATTGAGAGTTAGCATCTGGTGCTTTACACAAGTTTAAACAAAATTGATGACTATAAAGTAGAAAAAAGAGAAATTGTTACAAAATTAAATGTTGATAAAGTGATTTCCGAAGGCATTTGGAAGGTTAGAGGCAAAATTTGCAGCCTTGGACAGTGAAAACAAATGGTTGGTTTGGGGCTCTATAATTCTTGTTAAGTGCTTTTTTTTTTAATAGCCATTCGCTTCCCAAAAATCCTTAACAAGTTTCAGTTTCACACTATTTGTTTTCACTGGCTACATGTCTCTCCAACATCAAATGCTCTGGTACCAATTGAAGGAAATGGGATTTTAATAAAAAAGATCTTCCAGATGATGTAGGAGGTCTAACCCTTGAAGATATCAAAATAGCGTCTAGAGGCCTTTTATTCTCTTGATCTACAATACCATTTTCTTCAATTGGTATCAGAGCATTTGAATTTGGGTAGAGATTTTGAGATTTTCAAAATGGGTTTCACATTGATCCAACAAGGTAGCGAGAGTGAGAGAGTGAGCTACTATTGTTTTGACATACAAAGTGGAAAAGTGCAGAGATTTCTCTCTAATAGTGAAACCATAACTCTTATACACTGTTGGAAGCTCCTACATTGCAAAGTCTTATACGTCTTCTCAAGGTCATAGGAGTGAAGAAGTCTTTGGGGTGCTTCTTCAAGAGGCTTGGAGGAGATTGAGATTGAAGGTGTTTGGATTGTAGATCAAGAGAAGGAAGGGCCTTTAGGATCTATCTTGAGGAGATAGCTGGGTTAAAATTTTATTTCCTTTTACACCATTCATTCATCCAAAGTTCTTGAAAACCTCCGTCTCTAAATTCTGTACACAATTTCTTGGATCGGAAGATCTTTTTTATTGGAATACCATTCCCTTCCACAGGTGTGAATTTGTTGTGCTCTTAATCATTTTTCTTTTTCCTTGTGATATTTTGGATGTTTGTTTACAATTTTACATTAATCTTGTGCAGTGATGGAACTTTCACCAAAAAAGAAAGTACACCATACTGTCCATGGGGGACCTGAGGATTTATGACATGATAAAGGGATAACATAAGGTCAGCCTAATTAGGTTCCTCATCATTATGAATGACAATGGGTTGGGATCCCTTCCCATCCTCGTCCAGTTTGACAAAGTAAAATCTGTCCATGCCAAACTCGCTTATCAAAAGATTCACGTACTCCATCCCTCTCCCTTAACAAATATTTTAATTTAAAAAAATGATATGGATCATATGAGTTTTATCAAATGGTAAAGGGATGAGATATTAAGTTTTTGATTTTTTAGTTTATGAAAGGTATTTAAGTAATTATGCAATATAAACGAGATGGGAGGAGTACCTATCACCACCCACACCTGTGCTGGTTTTTATCTCAAGCCATCCCCGCACCTCCCCGATCCCTACTTAGCATTACAGCATCACAAATTACAATCTGTCCTTGAACAACTCAAGTATGATTCATTACTTATCTTGTTCAAGCTCAATTTTAGATTGAAAATTGAGTCATTGTGCAGGTTATGGATTTAATATAACACTGCTCATAAGGCATCGAACTAGCAGATGACTAAGTTTACACACTAGCTTGTAACTTGTAAAAAAGGTTAATTTGCTAGTCCAAGTACAACATTTTGAAATGCATATAAATTGTACTTCTAGTTCACTACCTAGGTGTTTACAAACCTGCAATCTCTCCTGATCTCTCCCTGTTCTCAGTGAGCACATTGATGTTCCCCATCTTGATCATTGAATCCACAAATGAAGCAAAGAAAAGTAATTGATTTGAGGCATAAGTCCACACATTTTTTTTATCTCCCCTTCAAAATCTTTATTGACTAACACATTATCAGATATTAGCAATCCTTCTCCTCGAATAATATTGTGGAAGTAGTGGTTGTCAAACCTAGTCGGAGTCATCAAATCAAGCGGTGCCAATTCACTGTCCCTCCCTGATTTCGGACATATGGACCGTAGGATTCTTCTGAACTCTGTGTTTCTCTTGCGATGGTACAAGTGTTCTTCGGTGTTCTGGTCATAGACTCTTTGCCTGAAGCTTAAACATCTTGCCTTTCCCATTGTGTGACTACCCATAAACAAACCCATGAAGATTACAATGTGTTATTCCCATTTGCAGAGGAAATTCAAAGGAAAATAGAAAGAAAAGAGAGGATAAAATTTTCCATAAATAAAAGTGTTCAGGGTTATTTTTGTCTTATCCGGTCATACTTTAGGGTTAAAGAGGTCTTTTCACTAGGGGTTAAAAGGGTCTTTTCATACTGTGTAAGTGTGCTCTTCAAACGCCTAGATGACCGATGGGGTTGGTAGAAATCACGTGCCAAACCTTAGGAGGTGTAAGTGTAGTAGGTTTATCCAAATTATGCAAGGATGTGTAATTAGATCTAACCTCCATAGGGTCAATGTAATTTAGCCAAGAGATAATGTTTGGTTGGTGAGAAAATGACTAATGAAAAGCATTCAAATTGGAATGTTATGAACATATATATGAAAGACCACATAGTATTAAGATCACAAACTCCCTCTTATTTCCAAGTCTTCCATGACACAACATGATATTCATTACTCAATTATTTCTCTATCTTTGCACATTTGTGGAATGTGGATGTTCAGAAAATTACCTGATAAAGCAACCAAGTCTTTGATGTCAAGATCCTGTTGTTGAAAATTGGCAATGAGAGTCTCTAAAGAGGAATTTGGAGCAGGTATGAATTGGTTGGCACCATTGAAGCTTGCTTTTAAAGAGTCTCTCCTGCCGAAATGGACATTCCATCTGGGACCACCTCTCTGTTGATAAAAAAGAACAGCAAAGATTGCTAAAAAGTGAAACAGAATGTGACTCTCACATAAATATGTCTATTGGTTACTTTTCATTTGTATTGATGAGATGACATCACACGACACTCATATAAATATGTTTATCGGTCACTTTTCATTTATGTTGATTAATCCATCTATTTTAATATATATTAACAAGGCTGTATTAAGTTAGACTCACATAACTGTATCTATTAATTTTTATTATTATTATTTTTTTATTTGCGTTGTTTAATCTGCCTATTTTGTGCTCAAGTAGTATTACTCTATATACATGCATGTGTGTATATATATATATAAATATTTATAAACAAGACCTTGTCAAGTAATCTGGGTCTAGCCCAGTGCAATATTTGATAAAAAACTGCATTAACCCCCTTTTATGGTTCAATTTGTATTTTATTTTGTTTTATTCATAGATTTGTTGCATTGGTAAAATTTGGTTACATTATATGTGACAAACTCAATTTTCACTTTGCAAGGTCGATCATTTAGTATTAATTAGGTTTGTTTTTAGGCACAAATTATAGCACTAGTAAGTACAAAATCTTCATGTTTGTGTGTCTTCCCTCATGAGAAAAAGTAGCAATTAATTATCTCCAAAATTTGGTAGTGTCTGAATTCAATTTATGTGAGTGGGGTGGCGGGACCCACTATATGATATCACCATAATGTCATGTGATAAGACCCACCACATCTCTTACATAAATTAAATTCGACAATTGCTGAATTTGGTCCCTACGTCACTACTCTTATGAGAGAGAGATGTACTGAAGCAACAGCGTCAGATTTAATATTCATGTTCCAAAGATTGTCTCTCTCACGACACTGTCTGTGACGGCACACAATCCTCTAAGTTCTGAGTGCAGAACTAACCTATTTTACTAGATTCTATTATATTCTACCTTAAAATCCTTAGTATTTTTTGCTCTATCGTTATTTTATTTGCTAGTGATTATAGGGTTTCTTCCGATTTTAGTTATTTTTATTCGGTTTTGATTTGACCTTGGGGAGGAAAAAGACGAGGTGATGATGAAATTCATTGGTCTGTCAATCCACTGACATATGTGTGATGTTAATAATGAATCCGACAGGTTCTGATTGTTTCTTTCTTCCCACACCCAAAAAAAACCTACAAATTATCACACACAAAGTCACATCTTTATATATATATATATATATATATATATATATATATATTATGTACTTAATATGTATGAGTATGTTTATGTTCTTATTTTAATGGGCATGTGATGAATCTCTTAACAAATGGGTAATTTGCATCTGAATATTTCAGTGATGCTTAATCACCTTGGAGAACTGATGCCTCTTTTTATTGGGTCTGAATGTTAATAATGTTAATAGTTTTGACATCAAGTAAAAGCAGAATTTGAATTTTATGAGTTTAAAATGAAGTTGGTCTTTTACATTATGTTGCCAATTATAACAAGTATGTTAATTTTTTTCTTGTACATCAGTGACATATTTAGCTATTCATTTGAAAGATGTCTGTACCAAGTAAAATATATTATTGTAAACTTTTTTGTGATTTTGGTTTTAATTAATTGGGTTCTTCTACTTATCAAAAAAATTAATTGGGTTCTTCTGAATTAACAATGCTTGATACCCATGTGAGGTATTTGTTTTCGTGTAAGTTGTAGGAAATGACTTTAGTCTTAAACTTCTCTATCTTGATATTGGTTGCAATAAGGTGGCTTTGTATCATTTAACTCTTTACATTTGCTACTTGTGAAGCCCGGTACTGATGGGGATGTGCATACTCTAAATTTTATCATTAATGCTCTCAGCTCCAGTTTCACTCTCTTGAAGATAAGGCTTGCTTTGTTTTTTTTTTTTTTTTTCCCAGTCATCTTCTTAACAATGTTGTGTCTAAGATCTCATTTAACCAAGTTTACTTTATGTAACAATGTTGTGTTTTTCAGATAGTTCTCATTAGGATTGATAAGTGTTAAGTACTGGATCTGATTCTCTTATTTTGCCGGAGAGGATCTCTAAAATTATTTGTACTTGGGGTAAGTTGCCTTATGCCAATATCTGACACATCACTTTTGTATTGTGTGTTGGTTAAGTTGTTTGATGTGCTTAAAACAGTTTTAATGAATTGATATTTTTAGATTCCCTCTCAATTATGACCATATCAAAATCTTGTGAAACCACATTCTGCCATAATGTAAGTTACCGCTTGGGTACTTTTAATCTTATGGTATCGGTTGGGTAATTTAGATCTTAATTTAGAGAGATGAAGATTTGAAATCTTTTAAGTTGCTTTAATCGAGTATTTTAAAGAAGTCTAAACAAAATAGGTATGATTATAAAGCAGGAAAAAAGATAAAAAGTCACAAAATAAATGTCTTATGGATTTGGATCCTTTCCTAGATCCTTTTAGAAGATATTGTATTTATGGTTTATAAACCCTAAATGCATTCCACAAGAGAATTTGTCTCTTTAAAATTATTCATTCAAGTCTTCCACAAAATTCTGTCTAATCTCTCACAAGTCAAGTTTAAGCTTTTAAAATCTCTACAATGGCAAAGAAGTGAGCGAGTAGATCACGGAAAGGGGGAGAACATAGAGCTTGAAAATTGAAGGAGATACTCTTGGAAGTATTTTTTGAAAAAGATTTTCATCTCTGTATCAAGAGTTTTCATGCTTCCCAAAACATCAAATACTCATTTCATTACAAATGACATCTTTGTACATTGAAAATTGGTGGATCAATAATGTGGTACAAGGAAGAGGAGATCTAGCAAGCAAGGGCTTGGAGTTCCTACGATCTAAGAGCATCACAAGCCTTTTCGGCCAATGTCTTGTACTGTAAAGAATTAAATCCCTTGGTTTGGACTTCTCCATTTGGTGGAGTCCACACCAAATTTCACACTCCACTTGTGGAGTAGGGCCATGATGTCTGACCAAAGGCCTAAAGTGGGCCCTTTTGTATATGTTTGTTTTTTTAAAAAAAGTGATGGTGTGTGAGACAAGTCATAAAAAGTGTAGTAAAAAAATAATAAAATAATAAAGTGAAGAGTGACAGAGAAGAGTGCACACCAAGAGGAAAGACTCTCCAAGAAAAAAATGTAGAGTCAATTTGCTTCCTTCCACACAGGATGCTCTAAAAGTGAGATTGAAGATTGGAAGAAAGGAGCCTAAAACTAAGAGTGTGCGATTTCACCACACTAGGGGCGATTTGTGGGGCGATTTGTGTGACTGCGGTTTTGTTAAGTTTGGGATGAAATCCTTTTTGGAAATTGCAAGATTACCAAGAATCTCGCTTGGAGGGGAAGTGAAGACGGTAGTTCCTCACCGAGGACCATCGTTGTACATAGACCGGGAGTCCGTCGGAGGAAGGAAGTCAGATCTCTCATCCTATTTGGTCGGAAGATTTGATAAGGAAGTGGGGGGTTGTGATCGAGTGAAAGAGTGGGCAACACGGGCTTGGAATATGACTTGTGGAGTGGGGTTAACACCCTTATCCGACTCACTGCTCTTTTTCCGGTTTCCTTCTCAGGTAGAGGCCAAATGTGTGTTGAAGGAAGGGCGACGATAGTGGGGTTCTGCAACTCTGAGGATCGACCTGTGGTCCTTCAGAGTTGGGTGTTTTGGCGTTCTTAGCGACTATGTTACATGGACTCGGGTACGGGTATCGGACATGGATGTGTATCCATGCATCGGATGTGTCAAATCTCCAAATAGAATGACACACGGACACGGCTAAATATTCATTTTATTAATTATTTTATTTTATTTTCTAGAGTAAAGTAATGTTTTTATCTAATATAATGTTCAATATAGGCATTTAACTCATTTTAAAGTAATAATATATTGTAATTGAATGGTTGGATATGCTTTTTAAATTTATGTCCAATCAAAAGTGTCGAACACATATCCTATATCGATGTCCGAGGGATATGTGTCCGACACGGGTACTTCACTACTTTTGAAGAGTCCATGTAACAGAGCTTAGCGATAAAGGTCTCAAACAGATCAGGTTGTTTGGCCTTCCTTTGCATCTTTGGTGTCATGCTTTGTTTGTCGAAGTGGGAGAGCTTTGTGGTGGGTATGTGAGATCTGATGCGGATGAGACTAGGGACGCCGAAAGCTTTTGGATAACAGTGAGATCCGGCCTTGATTGTCTGAAGTTCATGTTTATTAACGACGACACCTTCTGCTATAAGGTCGCGATCTAGGAAGAAATCTCGCCGGGCTTGTTCCTTTAACGGAGAGTCTCGAAGGTAGTGACGGATCACACCTTATGACGGAAGAGAAATGGAATGAGATTCTCAGTAAAGGAAAAGAGGGGGTTCTCGAGATTCAACAGTGGTTGAAGGATCGAGAAATCCAACGAGCAGTGAAGTATATAGGAGGTAGAAGACGAAGTGATCTTCACGCGCCGGCCAAACGCGTTGATGATGAATAGAGAAGGATTACACGTGGAGGTCGACGGGATACTCATCCGGATTCCCCTTATCCTTATCTCTTGATGATAAGGTAGGGAGGAAAATTCTAATTGGGCTGAGGATGGCGGTGAGATGGGCCAGAAGATGTCAAGGCAGGCCAGGAGTCAGATCGGGCCTGGTCTTAATTCTGGGTTCACTCAGCCTAAACCCAACAGAGCGATTTTTGGTTCTGGGCCTAATCGACGGGTACAGACAGGGCCGATTAGATTCGGGCCAAATAGACGGATTCAGACTGGTCTATTGGATCTGGGCCTAATAGAAGGGTGCGGAAAGGGCCAAATTCTTTAACTATCTCTTTCTCAGACACCAAACCAGGCCCTAATCCTTTGAGGCCATATAATGAAGTTTAAGTCCATGTTAAGCCTTCGCCTCATTTGTCTAAGTTTAATTCTTCTTTGGATAGACTTGAGCGGAGGATGATGGATGTCGGTCGCCATGGTTCTCGGTGGACTCGGACTGAAAAGCAAAAATGGGTTGCACGATCTCACGCTTCACATTTAAGTTTGAGCTCTGTTCATTCTCAAAGTGCTCTTTCTACTTCTACTCCTTTGGGTGGAGTGGTGAGAACTGGGGATGTTGTGGAGGATGTATCGAATCAATAGAGGGGTCTTCTTGGGTCTTCAGGTTCATGGTGTGATGGGGCAGTGTTGGATGTCTCAAAAGCCACAACTGGAAGTATAGGGTGTTTCAATGGAGTGACAGTTTGCGTTGGGAAAGACCTGCACTTCAAACTGACTAATGACTCAGCTGTAGCTTTACTTAAAGAGCTTCAGCTCTTTGCTGCGTTTGAAGGACTGAACAGTCAACCATCTGCGAATGAGGTGAATTTGTCAACTGAACAGGATGATTCGGAAACAGAGGGGGATATGCAGTTAGGAGTGGTTGATTTTCCTTCTTAGTAGCACTGTTCTAATGACTCCTTTTCTTGGATGGATTTGGATCAATCAGAAGTGGATTTAATGGAACCTTTGGCAGTTGTGCGGCCAGATTGTTTGGAGACGACCAATGATCTGGGTATGGAATGGGTTATTGAGAACATTGGAGCAGTAAGTGAAGCCTTCGGTGTCTCTTCAGAAGGTTATGATGATTAAACCTTGTCTATTCTTCACGAAATAGTTGCAGGTAATAATAGTATTGAACCTAATCATGGCACAAAAGAAGTCAAAGCCAGAAAACATTTTTCGCATCGGAAAGGGGAACAGGAAGTGAAGAATCTGATTTCTTGTGTTAATTATGACGGGAAGAATGGGACGACCAAAGAAAGGGGAAGAACCAGAAGTGGTAAATGGGGAGGAGGAGGGGAGTTGATCGTTTTTGGTTCTTCATGAAGCTACGACTTATAACGTGGAATGTTCGTGGTCTAAATGATCCGGACAAAAGAAGAGTTGTCAAGGTAGCTTTGAGAAAGTGGAGTGCCCATGTCGTTTGTTTGCAAGAAACTAAGATGGCTTCTATCACTGTTGAGATTGTCAGGAGTCTTTGGGGAGGAAGGTTTGTGGAATGGGAAGTGTTGAACGCCTCTAGCACTTCGGGTGGTATTCTTCCATGTGGGATCGAAGGTGGTTATCAAGTTTGAATAGTTGGAAGGGTATTTTCTCTGTGTCATGTCTGTTTCAGATAGAGGAAGACAATTTCAGATGGGTGTTTTCAGGTGTTTATGGGCCTGTTATTGATAGTGACAAACCAGTCCTGTGGGAAGAGCTTTGCTATGTTAAGGGATTGTGATCATTGCCTTAGTGTTTAGGCGGGCATTTTAATTCTATTAGGTCCCCGTTTGAGAGGTCCACAGGGGGCAGGTGGTCCTCTGAAATGACCATGTTTTCAGAATTCATTGATAGTCATTTTCTCATTGACCTACCATTGGAAGAAGCAGCCTTTACTTGGTCTAATGGTAGGGAACCGGTTACTTTTTCACGGTTGGATAGATTTCTGATATCTGGGGCGCGGGAAGAGCATTTCCCGGATGTCTCTCAGGCTGTTCTGGTTAGAGTGACATCTGATCATGTGCCTTTACTTCTTGATTGTGGTGGTATGAGTTCTAGACGCACACCTTTCCGTTTTGAAAATATGTTGTTAAGATCTGAGGATTTCAAGGGAAAGTTTAGTCTTGGTGGGAGGAAGCGAGTTTTACAGGCTCTGCTAGTTTTGTGTTAGCTAGAAAGTTTCAGTTTCTTAAAACTGAGTTAAAGAGGTAGAATAAAGAAGTGTTTGGGAATCTTGAATGGAAGAAGAATAGAGTTCTTGCTGATATTGTTGAGCTCGATCGTCTTGATTAGGTGGGGCAGGATGGGGAGCCATTATGCTCTAAAAGAGCCTCTTGCCAGGCGAATTTTGCTGAGATTGCTTTTATGGAGGAGATTTCGTGACTCTAGAAGTCTCGGGTGTTGTGGTTAAAAAAAGGGGATTGTAATACAAAAATCTTTCATGGACTTGCCAACGCTCACAGAAGATGTAATCACATAGGGCGTATCTGTGTCAATGGTTCTGAGCTGTGGAGAGAGGATGAGGTGAGCGGGGAAATTGTTTCTTTTTATCAGCAGCTTTACACTGAGACTTTGGATTGGAGACATACTCTTAATGGTCTTCCTTTTAACTCTATTTCTGCGTTGGATAGTGATAGGATTGAGGTTCCATTCACGGAGGAGGAAGTGCATAAGGTACTTTCTAGTTGTAATGGGGACAAAGCTCCAGGACCAGATGGGTTTACTATGCGGTATCTTAAGGAGAGTTGGGAGGTGGTGCGTATTGAGGTGATGGGCACCTTTCAGGATTTTTATTCTCATGGCACATTGAGAAATCACTGAACTCATCTTTTATTGCTCTCATTCCCAAGAAGGGCGGTGCCTCTGTTATTAAGGACTTCTAGCCAATTAGCTTAATAGGATGTTTGTATAAGCTTATTGCCAAGGTTCTTGTCTCCAGGATAAGTAATGTTTTGGATGGTCTTATTTTAGAATCATAGATTGCTTTTGTTGTTGGACGGCAGATTTTGGATTCTGTTCTTATCGCAGGGGAATGTGTTGACTCTAGATTGAAAAGTGGGGTTCCCGGCGTTTTATGTAAGCTTGATATTGAGAAAACCTATGATCACGTTAATTGGAAGTTTGTTCTGTATCTACTTCGGAGGATGGGGTTTGGAGACAGGTGGATAAAATGGATTGAAACTGGTATCTCGTCAGTTATGTTCTCTGTGCTCGTGAATGGTTCCCCTGCGGGTTTTTTTGCTAGCTCGCGTGGTTTGAGACAAGGTGACCCATTATCGTCTTTTCTTTTCCTTATTGTCATGGAAGGACTGAGCAGATTAATGAGAAAAGAGGAGGATTTGGGTTACATCAGGGGCTTCAGAGTTGGTAGAGATGTTGAACATCAGATGCAGATCTCCCATTTATTGTTTGCGGATGATACTTTGGTTTTTTGTGATGCCGAAGTCTCTCAACTCAGATATCTGAGGTGCATTCTTGCTTGCTTCCAAGTGGTTTCTGGGCTAAAGATTAATGTTGGAAAGAGTGTGCTTGTTCCAGTGGAGGATGTTCTAGATATTTCCTCCTTAGCTGTTGTCCTTGGGTGTGTTTCCTTACTTAGGATTGCCTTTGGGAGTTTCTTCTATGCGAGTTGGGAATTGGGACCCAGTGATTAATAGATATGAGGAGAGATTAGCAGGATGGAAGAAACAATATCTTTCTAAGGGGGGGAAGGTCACACTTATTAAGAGTACTCTCTCGTCCCTTCCTACCTACTTTTTATCTTTGTTTCAAATTCCATGCTCTGTTGCTGAAAGGATTGAAAAAATTTAGAGGGATTTTCTATGGGGTGGAAGGGGAGAGGAGTTTAAGTATCATCTCGTTAATTGGGAACAAGTCTACCAACCGCTGAAATTAGGCGGGTTAGGCATTTGAAAGTTGGTCCCTTTTAATCGAGCTCGCTTGGGAAAATGGTTATGGAGATTTGGAAAGGAACGCCATCGTTAGTGGAGAAGAGTTGTCTCATGTCGTTTTGGTGAGGAAAGCGGGGGCTGGTCCTTTGTCCCAGTCACTATTACGGGAGGCGTTGGTGTGTGGAAATTCATTCGGAAGGTTTGGGATGTTTTCTCCTTACACATTAGATTCAAAGTTCGTGACGGTAGGCATGCCCATTTTTGGAAGGACCTTTGGTGCGGAGATCAGCTGCTGTCTCACTCCTTTCCTAGACTTTACAGTATTGCAGACAATAAGCATGTCTACGTAATTGATTGTTATCAACTTGATAACAGTGGAGTTACGTGGGATGTGCGTTTTAGGCGCCCCTTTCAGGACTGGGAAATGGAGGAAGCTTGTGTTTTTTTGGATACGTTGTATAGGCAGAAGGATGTTGGCAGAGGGTGTGATAATATTTTGTGGGTTCCTTTAGCTCATGGTAGGTATGATGTCCGATCCATGTTCTTGTGTCTGTCCAACTTTGTTGGTCACGATTTCCCACGGAAGTCTGTTTGGCGTTCTAAAGCTCCTCTTAGAATTGCATTCTTCGTTTAGACTGCAACATTGGGAAAGATTTTGACATTGGACAACTTGAGAAAGAGAGGCAACATCATTGTCAATTGGTGTTGTTTATGTAAAGCAGATAGTGAATCCGTGGATCATATTCTTTTGCACTGTCCTGTGGCGTATGATTGTTGGAGTTTTATTTTTAGCATGTTTGACGTTTTTTGGGTAATGCCTAAGCACTCCTCACAATTGATCAACGCATGGAGACGATGTCCTGTTAAAAAACATGCTCGTGATTATTGGAGGATTGTTCCACATTGTGTTTGGTGGTGTCTATGGCGTGAGAGGAATAACAGAACCTTTGAAGGAAAAGAATCGTCTTTAGCAAATTTGAAAATTCATATTCTTCGTTCTCTGTTCTGGTAGGTAAGAGGAAGTGCATGCTCCTCGATTGATGATTTCTTTGATCTTTTGGATGCTATTGGTCCTTAGGTCTTTTTTCTTCTTGTATTAGGGACGCGTTCCCCTTTTGAACGCTTTTCTAATATATTTTTTACTTATCAAAAAAAAAAAAAAAAAAAGATTGGAAGAAAGTGTTGGTCTTTGTGTATGAGATAGATCACATCATTCTATTTATGAGATTTCTAAGCCTAAATTCGTGGGAATATAGAAATATAAAATGTGTAGGACTAGAGTGTATATCTCTGTAGTCTCTTGGAGAAAGACGTTTTAGGGTTTAATGCATACGGTGTGCAAAAATTGGCTGTACACTTTTTTTTGTAGAGTCCTTCCTCTTGATGTTCTCTCCCGCTCTTCACTTTATTGTTTTATTATTTTTTGTTTCCACACACCATCAATTTTCTTTCTTTTTAAATAAAAAATATACACAAAGGCTCACTTTGGGCCCTTGGTGAGGCGCTATACAACACTCCACAAGTGGAGTGTGGAGTGTGGAATTTGGTGTGCCATTGCTCAAAAAGGCTAAGCCGTTGGCCAAAACAGTCTCACCCAATAAACAATTCCAATCAGGGATTTACATAGCATTTTAAAGTGTAAATTTTTTTTAATATAAAATAATTCATTATAGGAAAGGCATTACTTAATAATTCTCAAATGGTACTTATTAGCATATGAGTATTAAATTTGGGAATTATTCATTTTGTCAATTCTTTATAGTTTAGAATAATTTTGTTTAGGTTTGAGTACTTATATCTAATTTTTTTTAGGGATTTGCCCTCTTCTAGATTGAGCAGTAGATAGAAGTTGATATCTGCAAGTACTCGCCTCAGCAGTAGATAGAAGTCGATATCTGCAAGTACTTGCCTCTTGTAATGGGTACCGTTAGCTGGTCATGATTGAGACAATCATTCTATTTTAACATGTGTTTTTAGTTCTAGTCAGTTGTGGCATGGGTATTTTGAATGGAATGGCTATGTTTTAAGGTCTTGTTTGGAATTGTTTTTGGCTTATCCTGTGGAGTGAAAATGAAATACAAAAAGATAATGAAATTATAGTAACTTGTAGACATTTAGGACTGAACAATTATCAAACGGAACTGCCTTTATGATCATCTTGCTTCCTAGAATAATTTTATGATCAAAATGATTGCCAATCATTTTTCTAGGTTTTGGGGTATTGGCTTTGCTTGCTGGGCCGTTGCCCAGTGAGTGGATCCTACTCGCTGAACAAATGCCTAGTGCTCACTTGTCATTTGCCCAACAAGTGAGGTCCACTAAATGGGCAAAGGCCTAGCGAGCGCTATGCAAGCTGCACTTGCCCAACTTGCTTTGTAATTTTAAAAATGTATAAAAATAAATAGAATATAAAAGATGAAATTGAATATAATAAAAAGGTGACGTTATGCCAGTTCCTAACAACACAGATAGTAGTTCATCGAAAGACACACTATCATCTTGCATGCTGTTTTAGAAATTTGTTTACAATCTTACCTTATGTATAGACTTGTGCAGAACTGGAATTTTCACGAGTAAAGAAAGTTTGCTAGAAGGAAGATTTTCTGAGATAGTTATTCCAATGTTGGATTTGGTTTTTTTTTATATAAATATATATATATTCTTGAATATTTGATAGACATGATGTGCTGTGAAGATCTAATTTTCGTGTTCCAAAGATAGTCTCTCATGACACTGTGATGGCACACAATCCTCTAAGAAGGTCTGAGCACAAAACTCATCTACTATTATTCTAATCTAGTTTTAAATCCTCTTATTTTTTTTTTTTTGCTAGTGATTTTAGGGTTTTCTTCTGAATACAAGCCTTTTTGTGATTAGTTTTTTGATGTGAAATTTGGGAGGAGAAAGACGAGGTGATGAAGAAATTCATTGGTCTATCAATCCACTGACATATTACTGTGCGATGTTAATCATGAATCCCGACAGGTTCTGATCGTCTATCTTCCCAGATCCAAAAAAACACAATTCATCACACAAATTCAAACCTTTATATAATACACACACACACACACACACACACACACACACACACACACACACACATATGTATGCATGTACCTATGTGTAAACAAGTTTATGTTAATTTCTTTTTCATGGGCATATGAGATTCAAATACATGCAAACTCAAATCTTTGTATGATATGTATATATGTTTGTATGTATCTATATGCAAGTATGTTTATGTTCTTACTTTCTTTTTCATGGGCATGTGATGAATCTCAAAACAAATGGGTAATTTGCATCTGAATGTTTCTGTGATGCTAAATCACCTTGGAGAACTGATGCATTTTTTATATTTTTGTATATATATATTTTTACTACATGTACAAATAAGAAAAATGTTGCTTTTGCCTCTTTGGCTTCTATTTAGAAAGTGTGATTGCTGGATTTTTTTATATTTTATTTTATTTTATATTTTATTATTATTTTAAAAAAAAACCTTTTTCTCTCTATTAGAGGCGATTTTGGGCGATTAGGGTTTCCTGGAGATTTCTGATGCGATCATGGAATAGGGTACATGGGAGGATCGTTTCTCGAAGTTGCGAATCTACCACGTTTCATTCTTGACGGTGAGATCGAAAGCCTTCCAACTACAGATGGTAGGACATTCAGGGTTGATCATCATAGCATGGCCAGCCGAGAATTAGTTTTGAAATCTTGCCTTGTTGAACGCTTTGATAAAGATGTGGGAAGCATTGACTCTATTGAGAAGTGGGCGACGCAGACATGGAAGATTGCGTGTAGAGTAAGGGTTTCAATTTTGCCTGACCGTCTTCTTCTGTTCAGATTACCATCGGAGAAAGAGGCACAAAGGGTTCTCAATTATGGCAGAAAAAACTGGGGCGTTGTTTCTTTGGCCATTGATGTATGTATGGTATTTTGCAGTCGGTTGCTCGGCGGTGAGACCAAGTGGAAGAGGACGACGTGTACTGATGTACGGATTGCCCCTTCATCTTCGATGTCAAAGGTTGTTCGAAGCAATAGGGAATCTGTGTGGTGATTAGTGTGATGTGGAGATGGACGATATGGTGGTAGGAGAGAGAATTGTTATCTTCCTTGCTGATGAAGGTTTGATCCCGGAATTTAGTTACGTCGAAGATCAGAGAGTTACATTTAAAGTTGAATTGAGGGAGGAATCATCACCATCCATTCTGCCGAAAGCCTCCCTAGATCCATATGCCAGATTTACTTCACAGATTGGGCGCGAGGAGTCGAGAATTGGAAAGCTTCGTTGTCCCTTTGCCCGGCCGGAGTTTTAGATCATCCTCGGTCCTCAAGGGAAGAGACGCGTGCGCTTCATCACACCGTCCGCGAGTGGGGCAAACAAAATCAGAAATAAAATGAGTACGCGCTTTAGGGAGGTCCACACACGTGGACATGCTTGTGACAGGCTGGGATATGGCTATGACGGGCATGTTTTGAGCAATGGGCTTTACAGGCCCAAGTCTAATGGATCTTTGGCTAGGACTGGGCTGTGGGTCCCCCAAGGGATTAAAAGGAGGGTCTAGAGAGGGCCCAATAGATCCTTGTCCATGTCATTATTAAATGACAAGCCCGCCCCAAATGTTTTAATGGAGTCATGTAATGGAAGATTAGCCCAGGCCCTGGTCCAGGTCCAGGTCCATTCTTAGTTTGTTTCACAATGTTCTGCACACACGGATTTGTTATCTACCACTAGACATTGGTCCACGTCTGAGAAATCAAGGTGGAAGAAGATGAGCGTAAGCATGACTAGTTCGACTGCGAAAGAGAACTGGAGTTCTTGCTATGGCTCTCGATGGTCTCGCAATGACAAACAGAAGTGGATAGCACGCTCTCATGCATTCGTCACTCCATGTACGTCCTCTATTACTCATCCTCGGAGCTTTCTTCTGCTTCTTCTACTCCTTGTGGGGTGATGAGAAGTGGTGGTGGTATGGAGGATGTTTGTGTTCAACAGAGGGATGTTTTTGGGCTTATTGTTCCACGGTTTGATGGGTCAGTGACTAAGGCTGCAAAGGAAATGTCTAGAAGCGTAGGAAGCTCTGATGGGGTGATGGTTTGTGTGGGACGAGATCTCCACTTCAGGTTGACCGACGAATCATCTTGCTTAAAGAGGTGCGACTTTTTGTAGCTCTAAAAGGTCTTAATTGCTTGCCTTCCGAAGGTCCAGAGACGAATGATATTCAGTCTGACGACACTTGATTCAGGTGATATTGCTACAAATTTGGATTTATAGATGGATATATATGTTAATGGCATGGAGAGTGAGGGGGAGGAGAAAGGAGATTGGGTTCCCTCTCAGCATGATTATTCCAATGACTTGCTTCTATGGACAGAAACGGATCAATCCGTTGTGGGAATAGTGGAACCGTTGGCAGTAGTGCAACCCGATAGTTTAGAAACGACTAATGATTTGGGCACGGACTGGGTGGCAGAGAATATTGGTGTTATCAGTGAAACTTTGGGTCTCTACAGAGGGCAATGATGATCAAGCCTTGTCCATTCTTCATGCAATGGTGGCAGGGGGAGATGCTGCAGAGTCTATTCAAGGCACGAAAGAGGTCAAAAGTAGGAGACCTTTAACGTCTTGGAAAGGGGAGCAGGAGGTCAAGAACCTCATTTCTTATGTTAACTATGAGGGGAAGGATGGGGTGGCAAGGGAAAGGGGAAGGACCAGAAGTGGGAAACGGGGAGGAGGGGAGATGATTGTTTATGGTTTTTAATGAAGCTACGAATCATTATGTGGAACGTTCATGGTCTAAATGATCCGGACAAAAGGAGGGTGGTTAAGGTAGCTGTGAGGAAAAGTAGTGCCCATGTTGTTTGCTTGCAAGAAACTAAGTTAGCTTCTATTTCTGACAGGGTGGTTAGGAGTCTTTGGGGAGGAAGATTCGTGGAATGGGAAGCGTTAAACGCCTCAGGCACCTCTGGTGGAATCCTAGTTATGTGGGATCGAAGATGGCTGTCAAAGATGATTATTTGGAAGGGAATTTACTCTTTGTCATGCGAGTTCAAGATGGAGGAGGACAATTTCAGATGGGTTTTTTCTGGGGTTTACGGGCCAATTATTGACAGTGAAAGACCTGCCTTTTGGGAAGAGCTCTACTATATTAAGGGACTATGGGCATTGCCTTGGTGTCTGGGCGGGGATTTTAATTCTGTTAGGACTCCGTTTGAGAGGTCCACTGGGGGTAGGTGGTCTTCGGAAATGACTCAGTTTTCAGAGTTTATTGATAGTCATTTTCTTATTGATTTGCTAATGGAAGGGGCAACCTTTATGTGGTCCAATGGTAGGGATCCAGTTACTTTTTCAAGGCTGGATAGATTCCTGATTTCTGGGGAATGGGAAGAGAAATTCCCAGATGTTACTCAGGCAGCTCTTGTAAGGGTGACATCTGATCACGTTCCTTTAGTTCTTGATTGCGGGGGTTTGAGATCTCGGCGCACCCCATTCTGTTTTGAGAATATGTGGCTGAGATCAGATGATTTCCAAGGGAAAGTACAGTCTTGGTGGGAGGAGGCGATTGTTACAGGTTCCTCTAGCTATATATTAGCTAGGAATTTTCAGTTTCTCAAATCTGAGCTCGAGAAGTGGAACAAGGAGGTGTTTGGGAACCTTGAATGGAAGAAGAATAGAGTCCTCGTTGAAATCGCTACGCTTGATCGTCTTGAGGATGTGGAGTCTTTGCGCTCTACGAGAGCCTCTTGTTAGGCGAACTTTGCTGAGATCGCTATAATGGAGGAGATCTCGTGGCGTCAGAAATCTCAGGCTTTGTGGCTTAAAAAAGGGGATCGCAATACAAAATTTTTCCACAGGCTTGCCAATGCTCATAGAAGGAGCAATTATATTGGGCGTATTCGTGTGAATGGTTCGGAGTTGTGGAGAGAGGATGAGGTGTGTGGGGGGATTGCTTCCTTTTATCAGCAGTTTTACACTGAGACGTTGGAGTGGAGGCCTAAGCTTGATGGTCTCTACCTTGATGCCATTTCTGAGTTGAATAGAGACAGGCTTGAGGTTCCATTCTCTGAAGAAGAAGTGCTCAAGGCGTTATTGAGCTGCAATGGTGACAAAGCTCCCGGGCTAGATGGGTTTACTATGCGGTTTCTTATGGAGAGTTGGGAAGTGGTGCGTAGTGAGGTGATGGGCACCTTCCAGGAATTTCACTCTTATGGCATATTTGAGAAGTTGTTAAATGCATTTTTTATTGCCCTTATTCTTAAGAAGGGTGGTGCTTCTGATATTAAGGATTTTCAGCCAATTAGCTTAGTGGGATGCATGTATAAGCTTATTGCCAAGGTTCTTGTTCTTAGGATGAGTAATGTATTGGATGGTATTATTTCGAAGTCCCATAATGCTTTTGTTGGAGGACGGCAGATTTTGGATTCTGTTCTTATAGTATGGGAATGCATAGATTCCAGGTTGAAAAGTGGGGTCCCTGGCGTCTTATGCAAACTCGACATTGAGAAAGCTTATGATCTCATTAATTGGAAGTTTCTCCTTTACTTGCTTAAGAGGATGGGGTTTGGAGTTAGGTGGAGGAAATGGATCGAAGCATGTATTTTGTCTGTCATGTTCTCTGTTCTAGTGAACGGATCTCCTGCTGGTTTCTTCGCGAGTTCTCGAGGTTTGAGACAAGGGGACCCCTTGTCGTCTTTTCTATTCCTTATAGTCATGAAGGATTTGAGTCGACTAATGAGGAGAGCGGAGGATTTGGGTTATATCAGGGGA